ACGGAAAACTTTTGGGAATTGGCTGGAATGATTTCCCAAACATTGCCTACGAGCTTTGCAGTTGCAGGAGGGCATTGAGTTGCCTCAAGCCGGGCCGGTGAAGATTTCTTCTTTTTGCCCTTGCTGCCAGATGATGATACTGGCTTTTCCTCCTGCTCCTTGGCTGCTTTCTTTGCTTCTTCCTCGATGATCAGCTTCCTATCTTGGGGTCCTAACATCTTCCACAGTTCTGAGTCAATCCCCTCCGGACGCTTTGAACCTTTGTAGTTACGTACAATCCGGTGACCATCCCAATGATGTCCATCTGGAATAATTTCACCTTTGGGGGTCAATTTGAGATCTGGAAATACGGGCGCTTCGGGTGCATCAGGCTCGACATCGCTGTCGGCTGGTAGAGGCGTACCTGGCTCGTATTCATACTCATCTTGCGGTGGATGCAAACTGGACTCAAGAGGCACAGCTTTGGGTGTCTGCGGAATGACCTGGTCCTCGAGGCGATCGGCTTTGGGTGCTTTCGAGTCGATCAGAGCTTTCAAAGGAAAGATGAAACCCTCGGATGGCAATTCCAACCTCTTTGTTCTTTGGATTGTCAGTGCACCCCAGTTGACATGATAATCTGCGGCTTCCAACTTGGCAACTAAGTATTCACCCTTCCAATCATGACCTGGTTGGATGTAATACCCAAGGAAAATTCCTTCATTTGCTGTTGGGGAGAGCTTACCTGATGTGTTATCCAACCTCTTGGGGTTATTCCAGAACAACACTTTGGCACCAAATGGAATGTGCATTGCAGGGAACTCTTCACCAAACCTGAGTTGCCATGGGGAATCACTGCCGTCAAGCTGGGGGCTTGCGTTGATCGCGGTCGCATGATGCTGCATGGCCAATGGCCACATCTTCAGAGGAAGTCCTGATTGCAACAAGTTGCTCCGGGCACCTTCCAACATCTGACGAACTTCGCGCTCAGCAAAAGACTTTGATGAATCTACGTATTCAATGGAAGTTTGGTGTCTGTAACCCAAATCCTTGATGGCCCTGATCAATTCTGGGGAATTGTCAGTGTACACAACTTGAACATCATCCTTTGATCCAATGAAGTGATTCAAACCATCAACACAGCTTTGTGAGTCCTTGGACTGGCTAGGGTAGACATACCGATATTGGGTGTGCAGATCTTTCAACACCAACGCAACTTGCTCCCCCCTGAAACCCTCTTCTACATTTTTCTTGATGATGACATGATCCCCAATGATGTGGTCACCAAACACTTCAGTTTCGATTCTCTTCTGACCACCCTTCTTTCGTGCCTGAGGTGCCATCATCCTTGCTCGTTGGCAAGTTCTGCAAAAGGGGTTCTTGGGGAAATGCGTGTACTGATGTTGGGTACTTGCAGCTTCAGCCAACAGATCCTCAGTCTTGCGGCTTCGGATGTACTCCTGCTGAGCGTCATCCTCCACCAACTCATCCAACTGCTCTTCATCTTGGGCTTCGTCCCGCTTGGCTTTTGAGCTCGACCGTGAGGTCGGCATTGCAAACAACTTTTTGAGGTGCTTATCCTTTTGAAATTGATCTTTGGGATAAACCTTGCAACTATCATCCAAGATTGGGACATGACCTTCGATCTTGAGCTGGACGACCTTGTCATCTGGACGGACTAGGATTGGTTTGCCATTGGCAGGCCATACGAAACTGTAACCCTGATCTACGCATCTCGTTCCTACAGAGAGCACAGCTGGGGTATGATCAAGCACATACGGATGCACGGGATCTGGCAATGCGGACAACTTGACATCAGCAACTTCATTTGCCTCGGTCGAACCATTGGCTGTGACTAAGGAAATCGGATGCTCGGCTGCACGGCAGTTCTTGGCACTTACGTCCCTCAGCATTCCTTTGGACACAAGATCGGATTCACTACCTGAGTCAACAAGCCAACTAACGCCGGCCTTTGGCGCAGCTGTGGCAATTGACGGGAAACGACCAATGTCTCTAAGGGCTTTGGGACCGCTGATGAACCTGCACTCTTTGCATGTGATGTCGCGTGTGTCCTCATCCCAACAACAAAACCCACAACTTGGTGCAACATCTGAATCATGAAGTTTCACAGTTTCTTGGAGCTGTCTTGCACGAACCTGAGCTTCATGCTGTTCAACCTTTGATGAAACTGGAACATCTTCAGCTGTCTTGTACACCTTAGTGAACTCTCTTGGACGGTGCTTGACTGGGACTTGACGACCGACTGCCTTCACCTCGATCACATGTGGGGCCTTTCGGAATCTAAGACGCTTCATGCTAACACTTGCCTCATCAGAGCACGAAGTTGCCTTCGGCTGTTTTCGGACGATGCATGCAAACTTCTGGATCAGACATGGAGCGGCTGTGGAATCCTTGCCCTTCTTCTTGGGAGCGGGTGAATTGGCCCTTTTGGTGTCTTTGGTGGCGGCAGCGGCTTTGTCATCATGTTTATAAAAACATTTGTCACCACGTCTGCACTTTCCCTGGGCATGATAGATGCATGGGGTTTTAGCCATTTCTTCTTTAGACATCTTCTTCCCCTTATCATCCTTATTGCCCCTTGATGGTGAACGTGTTTTGGTTCTTCTGGGTGATTGAGTTCGAGATTTATCATCTTTGACATGCTTGAATGGACACTTCTTCCCCTTATCACAGGTACCCTTTTGGAACTTATAGCAAATCTTGTCGCCTTTGCTACCTCGTTCCTGCGATCTACCGCGACTTGGAGAGCCCTTTCGGCCGCCGCGACCATCGCCTTTGGCGGGTGCGGCCTTTGTGTCCTTAATCCCAGCCTTGTTCTTCTCCGCAATGCGGTTCCTGTTCTCCCTCAATCGTTCACGATCGATCAAGTTCTTCATGGATTGGTGAAGAAAACTGTAAGACTTTTCATGGGATTTCTCATGAGCACGGTCAAACACCTCGATGTCATATTTCAGCAACTGACTTGGTCGGATCTGCCTCAACAAGATGTCCCTTAACACAGCATCATCAGGGGTGACAGCCATGCCAGCTAGGGTAGCATCCCATTTGTTGATGAATCTTCGGAGATCCTGGACAGTATCGCCTACTTTGACAACACCCAAAAGATCTTCTACTCTGTAAAGGCTACCTGCTTCTTCTGATGTCTTGAAGTAGTCCTCAAACATAAGCAGAACATATCTTCCCCTGACCTGGATGCCTTTTCGGGATTGCTGCTCCTTGAAATTCAAGATCCTAGTTGCGAGGTCCCCTCCGGCTGAGCGCGTGAGCGCTGCTGATAACTTTGTATCCAGCGTAAGGAACTTTCCAGGATCTTGGAGTTTCTTCTCCAACTGCTCTCTGGTGCACTCTTGATCGTACACCTCGTTGAGCCAGAGCCACGCCTCATCCGGGCGATCTGAACAGCTCTTCACTTCATCCCTGACATGATTCTTCCAAGTTCTATATGACTCCGGAGCGGGCATGTTGTTCAGCTTGATGAGTTCAGCCTCCTTAGTTTTTGGCTTATCCTTTTCTTCCCTTTGGGTTAAGGCTTTCACCAATTCAATAAGATCTGAGGGACCCATTACTTGCTGTTGCTTGGTTGCGCTCTTGGGAGATTCATTTGGGGGAGTTTTGATAGCTTCAGTGGGAGTGAAAAACCCTGACTGCGTTGGCAATTGGGGCTGGTCGTTGCCGACAGCCGGCTTTTGCTTGGGACTGCCACCTTTGAGCAGCTCATCCAACTTGGCCTTTGCTTCCTGCGCCAACACTGCAGGCGTCTTAAACTCAAGAATCGGCTCATCACTGCCTTTGGCAGCCTGTGCATCGGATGCTTTGGGAGTGGCAATATTGAAGTGGGTCACGCTAGTGGTAGCGGCCGGCTCGGCGTTCTGGACGGATGCTTTCGGAACGGAGGCATGCTGCGCTTTGGCAACATGCTTTAACTGCTCCTGAAGATCATCGATTTGGTCCTGAAGGCTAAGGTTCTGAGCCGCTGCCTCGTTGATCTTGTCGGCCATCTCCTTCTTGTAGTTCTCAAACTCAGTCCTCAAACTGATGAACCTGGCCTGATCAATTGCAGCCTGGTCTTCATATTGCTTCTTTGTGGCAGCTATGGCATTCTTTGCATGTTCAACTGTCTGTGCATAGGAAGCTTCAAATTCACTAGTGATACGTTTTCTTTCCTCTGCAATTTTCTGATCATGCTTTGTGTTTGCCTCTGCCTTTACATCCTCTATTCTTTTGTCATGCGATGCCTGAGCCTGATTCAACCTGACCTCCATCTCGTCGCCTCGTTTCCTCTCCTCGTTGAGGGCACTAATGGCATTACCTTCAACCTCCTGCAGCCTTTGCTCATACTCCTGTTCCTGCATTACGAGTCTACTTGACCATTCGTTTCGAATTGAGTCAACTACTCCATGCATTATCTGAAGGTGCCTCTGTTCAGCTTCCCTCATGACTTGCAGGGTATTCCCACTAGTAATCTGGGACAGGTTGTTTTGTATGAAGGTAAAGTACGCAACAACAAAAACGGGTTGGAACATTGTTTCGTCATCCATCGGCTCGGGGTTGCCCCCGGCCATATTAGGCACAGCGACAGCCGATGGACCTGACCCTGGAACGGCGAGAGGATGGTCGATTGGGGTCCCCATAGCAAAGTGGTGAGACTACGGCTGATAACCTGTATATTCACAGGTCAGCCACCAATTAGGTATTACAACACTAATGGGGTGAACCTACAAACCGCTCAGCTCCTGGTACTTTTGAACCAACGCTATCGGGCAGATCGATGATATATACAATACATGGTTTTACTGCAGGAGTTTTTACAATATATATATATATATCATACATACATAATGTGATAGACCCAACAAATAAACCATCGCCAAAATCACCAATTTTATGGTTGTTATAACCCCTCCCCAAGTTCGGTAGGTTTATGGCCTTGGGTCTCCCACATCATATATATATATATATATTACCCAACTGTACTAATGGAGGCTACAGGCAGCCCGTCTGGCCTGGTTCTGGCAGCAAGTGCTGCTCCACAAAGAGGGCCGCTTCCACTCTGAGCAGGCCGTGGCTATCCTGCGGTGATTGTTGGAACCGGGGTTATCATTGGGTCTAGCAGTTTTACCAGCAACAATGGGTCTTTACATGGTTTAACCATCCTGAATTGCGTATGTATACATATATACAGGATAGATAGATCCAGTATAGATATTGAATGGGATTTACCCAGTAAAATGGGATCTTGATGGATATATCATGATCTATTGGAATCTGATAATTCTCACTGTGCAATCCCTTCCCCCGAATGAATAGATCCCAGGCCGGAATGGAAGTGCATTCCCAGAATCTCAAACGGACATGGCCGGACATGTCTAGGTAAAGCCATTGATTTCTGACACCAAAATCCTGCTGCTGCAGTTGGTACTTCTGTGGTTTCTTGGGGTGAATCCCCAGCAAGTGGTGAATAACCATAATGTAATCCACTTGCAAAAAGGTTTATAAGTTTTATATAGTTTTATTGTGTTATAAATGACCTATCAGGTACCATGTCTGAGATGCACATCCATCCGTGATTCCGTGATAGGATCGGTTCTCGTACATCCCTGACAATGCAGGATGTGTGTTTCATGGTCTAATTTTCACGTTGAATCCATCGTATGATTTGGTGCACTTAAATGAACCACTGGGTCTAATCCTTACGATCGGTCCAATTGAACCAGTCGCTGACTGGCTGCGACAGTTCCCCTCCACTCTTGAAAATCCAACTTGGGTTCATCTGGAAACAAGGTACCCCTAAAGTCCACTGTTGAATCATGTTTTGGTATCAGATTTGCATCGGGTACACATGGGTACACCCCTTTCGCAGACATACCCATTGGGAAAGGTCAGAACATGAGCATCAGTTCCAATGGATCATAATAATTTTCGCTACGAAACTAACCATTTTGGGGCCCCATTTTCAAACACCTCCATTTGGAACACCTGTGCCCCTCTTGCCCCGGCAATTCAGGCGCACCGGCGCCGTCAACGCGAGATTGGCCACCCGTGCGAAGTCGTCGTCGGAGAGCTGAGAAACCAAGACCGGGTGCCTGGTGGCCCCACCACAAAAAAAACCTGTAGTTATGGGTCTTATGGTAGTAATCATAGTTATCATCTGAAGGATTAGTTTCTACCCATCCGAGGCTGGGGATGTCTATAAATTCATCACCCAACATTCATCATGGCAAACCCAACATAATCAACATAAATATATATATATATAGAAAAGTGGGAAATCTGATACCTGGAAATATGGTTGGCAAATATCATCAATTGGACTATCATCATTTTCCATAAAATGTCCACTTGGATGTTGTACCCTGATCTATAACGCCACAAAAACAGGGGGCACCAAAGCGCCCGACGCCGCCGCGCTGACGCGTGGCTCGCTGTCGCGGCTGCGCTCCGCCAGGTGACTTGCCGCCTCGCAAATTTTGGAGTATCTTCCCACCATTCCCAACCAGGAAAGAAATCAACTATCCATTGGTTGATCAGGATTAATAGTGACTAATAGTGATTAATAGTGATTAATAGTGATTAATAATGATTAATAGTGGTTAATAGTGGTTAATAGTGATTAATAATGATTAATGGTGACTCATAATGATTAATAGAAATGAATAGTGATTAAAAGTGGTTAATATTGATTAATAATGATTAATAGTGGTTATATAATAGTGATGATTAGTGATTAATAGTGATTAATACTGATTAATAATGATTAATACTGATTTAATAGTGGCTAATAGTGACTAATAGTGATTAATAGTGATTGATAGTAATTAATATTGATTAAAAGTGGTTAATCGTGAATAATAGTGATTAATAGCGGGAAATGGTTGTTTAACAATGAAAGATGAAGGTTTGGTGGGTGCACAATGGGGGAATTTGTGAGAATTACAGTACCATACTTGGAGGCGCAGTTAAAGTTACAAATAGGTATAACATGGTATAGCAAGTGCTTTAAAACCCCCAAAATTGGTAACTACCCGTAACTTCCATGCATAACTGGAACTGCACTTCCAAGTAGTAAACAGTTTGTAAGGGGGCTATACCCCGCTTTCAAGTGGAAAACCGATGAAATGGTGACTTATTAGCCAAGGTTACTAACCGCTGCTGGGATGATCCTCCAAGCATCGGATTCAAATCGGGGTATAGGGATAGAAGTTTTTTTTGAGAGGGGTGTCACCAAAATTCATAAGGATTCAACACCCAAAATGGTGACCATCCCAATAATGGATGGCAAAACAATGGGTTTCTTATTTTTTTGTTGCTAAATAAGCCGTTAACAATTCACCATTAAGCCCCCCCAAAGAAAGAGTACCAATATGAGCCCGAAAATGAACGGATCCAATACTAAACAGCAGTTTCAAGAGAGGTATTTGACATTCGAGGGAACGGGAACGGATCCATGTTTTTTTTTTGGGGCAGGCTTGTTGGCAAGCAACAACCGCTAATAAGGGTACATATTAAGCATCTATTATTGCGGGGAGACCTTTGCGGGGATGGTTAAATCCCAATGATATCATACTGATATAGATGCTTCATCAAGTTAGTTCAGTTGGTAGTACATTGGTTATACATATTTTTTGGAACTAGGGAATGAATCATACCCCACTTGCCGCTGACTAACTCCAAGGCGCATCTCAGTAAGGTATCTGAGATGCGGCTCGATTCATAGAATGTAGGATAGAATATCCAGATCATGGGATACTTCAACTTAGCCATCGTATGAAATACTCATGACTCTCTAGTGATACACAACACACTGAGTTGTAAAAGTTTTTACTATTGATCTAGTCTATCACTGATATGAATATGTGGCAAAGGGTTTAACATGGATGATATGGTATTGGTGTGATATCTAAACATGAAAATACATATATATATATATATATTTGAAGATTTGGGTAGCATTGACAGAACATTGGGTTTTAACATGTTATAGATTGATTGGTATGTCGTTTCGTTGATGGAGGAATATGCGGCTAGGGGATATGTGACATATTATTTGAAAATTTGCATATATAATTTGAGCTTTTAATATCCTATATCATGCTTATACAATAATTATACCATCTCATGAGGATTGAGACTATGGTTGCCCCAGCACAAATTTGATCATCGCAACGAAGCACTTTGAAAAACACAAATGGATACAAATCGCAAATAATGGCAATGCTTTGAACAGAAGCTCAGAATTTGCAGCAGCATAAAAACATGGACTTCATTTTTGTTAACCCCAGCTTTCACCGCCCAAATCATACCCCCAGCCGCGGCGGCCCAGTGCCTCTCGTACAAGAGCAGGGTCATCCAGGTCACCCTGCGGCCCCAAAAGGTTCTAGTCGTTGGGCCCCAATAGGTTTCTCTCGAAGTGGCTTATCTCCGCTCCTCCCCTGTGAGGAATTCAGAGATCCCCTTCGTTCATATATGTTTTGCCCACTTTGGTATGGTAGGGTACGGTAAACTGATTCAACTGCGTCCCACCCCAGAATGAGGAAGAGAACCACAAATGACGTCTCTTCTCCACTCCAATGGATATTGAATCCATGGCTCGCAAATTATCCCATTAAATCGCCATTGACTTTCTGGATCTCACCACTTGCACTCCGCCTCAAACCAAGCACCTGCAATTTCAATGGCTTGAAGTCTGACTTCTGGAGCTGGATCCTAAGCAAATCAAACCATCAGGGGGTCCTCACCAGCCTCAAAAGGACACGCGGAATAAGCATTGAATGAAATGCCCGAAAACTCGGTAGTGTCACAAACGGAACATGATTGAAATCTATTGAAGCTATACCCTAAGTCTCCGGACATGGTAATTTTAGTTTTAGAGTAAAATTACTGATATACAAAAAATAGTAGTAAAACTGAAACTTTTTTGAAAGTAAAAATCGTAAGTTAAAGATGTTAACCAAACAGCATCAATACCGCATCAAAACTGCATCCAAACTTCGTCAGAGCTTCTTCGCGTTTCATTCGGCTAGCTTGCAGAATTTTCATGTAACCCCCCAACTGCATTTGGTCCAGGTTATGTTATTTTTCTTTTTTTCGATGAGAGTGTCATCAGTTATTGCAATGCCTGCAAACACAGACAAATACAGATTGAGTGTTTTAAGCTTGGAAAAAATAGTTTGAGAGTTTTGACAAGTAAATTTGGTCGACTGTGTTATGAATTTCATTGTTCTTTCCCTGTCCAAAGTGCAGGAGCACAAAGGTGTTTTGCGAATTGAAAGATCTCTTTTAGAGAGACACCTTAGTCACTGAAGTCATAGGGGTTGGATGGTGAATTCATCCATGCCAACCATTGTTCATGTTCATAGTCACGGTGCAAGTCCTGGTAGTGCTCATTGTCCATGGCATAGCTTTTGTGAAACTTTTGTTCAGAGCTGCCAATGACCCCAAGTCCTTCGTGGAGAAGAGGTGAACCTGGAAGGAACCGTCCTTGTGCTGGAGAAGTTGTTCCAATGGACTCACGGGCCCTGTCAGTGACATTGTGGTGATGGCAGAGTCTCGACAAGGGCAAAAATTCGAGACTGCTTGAAAGTAAACTGCAACATTGGTTATTGCATAAGTATTCCAAATGCTACCCAAAGTGGTTGCAGCATCTCTAACCCATGTCACAGGTCTGACTTTTGTTTTCCATGTAGAGAAAACTGTTCTACAGGTAAATTTGAAAGTTGCAAGTCCGCCATGCAAACAAAAAATGGTTGTTAGGATGAGTTTTGTTTCTGCTTTTAGAAAAACAGAAACATCTCACACGATATGACCGATGTACCACAAGGCTTAGCAAGTGAATTTGAACTTGGAACTATAAGATGTTTGTTCGTATTTCAGGTAAAGGTGGTACAGAACTCTTTTTTCTCCAAGCGTTGCGAAGCATTCTCTACACTGAGTAAAGATCCAAAAGGATACTAATATCTGACATCAAACTCAATGGTCTGTCACCCAAAAACCTGAAACGAGCACATATCGTTTCACGTAAAGCTACAGCAAGCTGAGGATTTTTTCTTTGCAAGGCTCAGGTCGTGCGTTTGGCGCGCACACGCAGTTGAGCTTCAACAGCTGCCAATTGCTCTTCCAAGGATTCTGCCTTTTACCTGCCTCTGCCATGATTGTGGAGTAGAGAGAGAGACCGTAACTTCTGCTCCGTTGGGTAGCTCCTGACACATCACACGGTCCATGCTGTTTACTTGCAAACAAACTAGACGACGGAATCTCCAAAAGAACCTCCACCAAGTCCTTGTGCCAAAATGGCAGGTGGCAGTTTGACCTTATCCAAACACATCTCCAACTGAGTCTGTTCGGCCGTGGACAACATTCGAAACACCCTGCCACGGATCTCAGAAGAAAGCCTCAAAACCCTCATCTGGTACAACAGGTTTCTCAAGTAGAGATCTATTCTGTCCACACCATCTTGTTCCTTCATCTTGTGATCGAACACTACCGCCTTCTCCTGCAAAAGTGTAACAACAGCTTTCTGCACTTTGCTTCCAAGTAATTTTGTGTTGGGGCAAACATCTAGAACGTCAAAAAGCAGCCCAGCGGTTTTCACCAACCAGGAGCCATGCACTGTCGCTTGCCATGTCACTTGCAGAGGGCCGGAAGGTGGAGGACAAAGTAAAGCAAAAAGGTCAGTCGTCTTTTTGTACCTCAGGTAGTTGAACAAGAAGGCGTGGATGTCTTGAACTGAGATCGTCGGGTCTGCTACTAACCTGGGACGAGAAGATTGGTATCTTCTTCTTCTTCCACAGCAGCAGTTTGTCTTTCAGACAAAGCAGACGCCAAAAGTCTAAACACACCCCATTGAGCAAAATGCCCTGGCCAAAATGTCCACACCATCTGCAGAATCCAAGTAAAAAAACAAATAAATTGATATCAGGTAAATTGCAACAGAGCACAAGTAAAATTTCAGCTTTGTCACAAGTAAATAACAGCCAACAACTGCACAGCGCACTAGAACAAATCAAAAAAAATAGAACAAGATGAAGCCCACGAACCCGAATGCTCACACGTATGTTAATGGTCAAGATGTCAAAACACATGGTTATGCAGTCACGCGCAATACCTTTCTGTAATAGTTTATTTGAACAGTCTTGTACATGTTTCCCTTGTTACCAGTCTGCAGTGTGGAGTGGAAAGTGTAGAGTGTGGAGTGTGGAGTGTGAAGTAAGGAGTGTGGAGTGTAAAGTGTGGAGTGGGGAGTGTAGAGTGTGTAAAGTGTAGAATGCGGAGTGTAGAGTGTAGAGTATGGAGTGTAAAGTGTAGAGTATGGAGTGTGGAGTGTAAAGTGTGGAGTGAGGAGAGTAAAGTGGAAAGGGTCGAGTGTAAAGTGTAAAGTGTGGAGTGTAGAGTGTATAGTGTAGAGTGTAAAGTGTAGAGTGTGGAGTATGGGGTGTAAAGTGTGGGGTGTAAAGTGTAGAGTGTGGAGAGTAAAGTGTGGAGTGTAAAGTGTGGAGTGAGGAGTGTAAAGTGTGGAGTGCGGAGTGTAAAGTGTAGAGTGTGGAGTATGGAGTGTAAAGTGTGGAGTGTGAAGTGTGGAGTGTAAAGTGTGGAGTGAGGAGTGTAAAGTGTGGAGTGAGGAGTGTAAAGTGTGGAGTGTGGAGTGTAAACTGTGGAGTGTGGAGTGAGGAGTGTAAACTGTGGAGTGTGGAGTGTGGAGTGTTAAGTGTGAAGTGTAAAGTGCGCAGTGTGGAGCGTAAAGTGTAGAGTGTGGAGTCTGGAGTGGAAAGTGTAGAGTGTGGTGTGTAGAGTGTGGAGTGTGGAGTGTAAAGTGAGGAGTGTAAAGTGAGGAGTGTAAAGTGTGGAGTGTGGAGTGCGGAGTGTGGAGTGGAAAGTGTAGAGTGTGGAGTGTGGAGTGTAAAGTGGGGAGTATGGAGTGTAGAGTGTGGAGTGTAAAGTGTGGAGTGAGGAGTGTAAAGTGTGGAGTGCGAAATGTGGAGTGGAAAGTGTAGAGTGCGGTGTGTAGAGTGGAGTGTGGAGTGTAAAATGTAAAGTGTGGAGTGTAGAGTGTAAAGTGTAGAGTGTGGAGTGTGAAGTGTAGAGTGTAAAGTGTAGAGTGTAAAGTGTAGAGTGTGGAGTGTAGAGTGTAAAGTGACGATTGTAAAGTGTGGAGTGAGGAGTGTAACGTGTGGAGTGTGGAGTGTAAAGTGTGGAGTGCGGAGTGTGGAGTGGAAAGTGTGGAGTGTGAAGTGTGGAGTGTAAAGTAAGGAGTGTGTAGTGTAAAGTGTGGAGTGTGGAGTGTAAAGTGTAGAGTGTGGAGTGTGGAGTGTAAAGTCTCAGGTGAGGAGTGAGGAGTGTAAAGTGCAAAGTGTAAAGTGTGGAGTGTAAAGTGTAGAGTGAGGAGTGAGGAGTGGAAAGTGTAGAGTGTAGTGTAAAGTGTGGAGTGTGGAGTGTAAAGTCTCAGGTGAGGAGTGAGGAATGTAAAGTGCAAAGTGTGGAGTGTAAAGTGTAGAGTGTGGAGTCTAAAGTGTAAATTGTGGAGTGTGGAGTGTAAAGTGTAGAGTGTGGAGTGCGGAGCTTCCCCCATAGACACGGCGACGCCACAGGAAAACCAGAGACTCGAGACGAGACACGTGGGTGCAAAAAAACGAGCATTTCGTGCGAGACTTCCTCCAATTTTGATATTTTCCACACGTTATCAAACAGGTTGGAATGTCACAAAGTGCCACGCCTGCCACGCAAAACGACATGACAACCTGCTTGGACACATTCGAATAGGACATGTTTTCCAGCTTCCCCCATAGACACGGCGACGCCACAGGAAAACCAGCGACTCGAGATAAGACATGTGGATGCAGAAAAACCAGCATTTCGTACGAGACTTCCTCCAATTTTGCAATTTTTTGAACATCATCAAACAGGTTGGAATGTCAAAAAGTGCCACGTCTGCCACGCAAAACAACATGACAACCTGCTTGGAAACATTCGAAAAGGACAGGTTTTCCAGCTTCCCCCATAGACACGGCGACGCCACAGAAAAACAAGCGCCTCGAGACAAGACACGTGGATACAGAAAAACCAGCATTTTGTGCGAGACTTCCGGCAATTTTCACAGTTGGCAACATGACAAAAGGACACGTTTTGCAGCTTCCCCCATAGACACGGCGAGGCCACGGGAAAACCAGACACGCGAGAAGAGACAGGTGGGAGCACCAAAACAAGCATTTCGTGCGAGACTTCCTCTAATTTTCACACTTTGTAGCTTCAAAATCGACGTTTTCCTACGAGTTTTCCTTAGAACCCGAAAATTGGCAACCTCAAAATCGATGTTTCGTGGGAGGCTTCCGTCAATTTTCAACGCATCGCACAAAATGCCACGCCTGCCACGGAATTTGCACCTTGTCGCCACTTGACGCAGCCCTGCCAATGCGATTTGCAAAAAACACGCAACATGACACGTCTAAAGTGCTGCGCCTGCCACGAAAAATGACGATGGACACGCCCAAAGTGCTGCGCCTGCCACGAAAACTGCAACACATCTTCTAAAAACGTCACAAAAGTATTGGGCCTGCCACGCAAAACGATTTTCAACACGTTGCAAAACACGTCTGAATGTCACAAAGTGCCACGCCTGCCGCGCGAAACGAAGCAACGACACGTCCGAAACCCCCAAAAATGACCACCTCTGCAAAACTTCCCATAGGCATGGCCATACGGACCTCGTACGAACGGTTGCGAACGGTTGCGGACGGTTGCGAACGGTTGCGACCGTGAACGCAACGTCGAGCGAACACACCCTCAACCCCCAGACCCCCAGAGTGAAACGGGAACCCTTGCTACGCATTCGGGAAAAATACACAAGTGAACACATAACATGGTTAAAAAAACAATGCCAAAAAATAGTATTCCGAAAATTACTTCTACAAGCAAAAACCATTTACTTATATAAGTAAAAAAATACTTGATATAGTAAATAGTAAATAGTAAATTGATTTACAGTAATCTTGAACATATTTTTTACTACTAAATTGTAAAATTTACAGTAAAAAAAAGAGAACTAAAATTACCATATCCGGAGACTTAGGGTACCGAATTTGTGTTTTAAAAGCACACCAGGTTGCATGGTAGAATTTCCTGGTGACCAAACTACAATTCCAAAAATGACACTGGGGTCCCTGCATTCCAGTTCTCAATTGTCGGTGGCTGATAATCAAATAAAATCATCAAACCTGGAAAATGGAGGCTCATTTATTCATCCATTCTCCCAAAGAAAACATGGGTGTCTTCCACATCTCTATATCTCTTGAAAAAGAGCTACTAGGTGGCCCAGCGAAGAAGCCTTGGAGGATGCGCTCGGGTGTCCACAGGAACTTCAGTTGCATGTAGCGACCCAAGGCATTCAAGGTGAACCTGCGTGGATGCACAGTATGAGTTTTATCTATGGCAATGATTGGCACCGGTTTCTGGAAACATGGCTGGGAAATCCCCAAGCTAAATGGGCATTTGAATGAAAAACGTCCCGGGGAGTTTCCCTCGCGATGATTACCACAGGGTATAGTGGTAATTTCCTGCTCTCAATGATGCGACTTCTGTTCCCGCAAGCTTGTTCGCGCACTTCCTATTAACGGTTTATCAGGGAGCGGGCTGCTTCAAGGAATTGCGGGTCCCATCATTGGGACTACATGCCTTTTTGCACCTGGAAAGCCAGGAATAAAGGCTGAGAAGCGCTGTGTTGGTTTGCAATTTTTTACATGTTGGGGCAAAACCTTTTGAAACGCATGTTTGTATACTTGTTCTCGCAAGTAATGTCATCCCAGGACTACCGCAGGGATGGGAGGTAATTATCGCTTACAGCTGGAGTTGTTGATTCTTGATTGCGCGGAGCCCTCTAATCCACACACATTCTTAGCAATTGAAAAAGAGTATGCTATTTTGTTCGGGCTGGTACATGTGAAAACCCTATTTTAGGAGATGTTTAACATGTCATCACCCAGTCAGTTGTTTTTCCACAAAAGGGGCATATCTCAAAATCCAATATAACCCAACAGGTTCTCAATATGTTCCCCACTAATTCTTGATTGCCAATATGGGCACAAGTTAGCATTGGGGTATCCAAAAACGGATCCTGAACATGAAACAAATTGCACAACGAAACGAAGTGTGCACCGTTTTGTGGAGCTTAGAACCATCCCACGTTCAGGGTTGCTCCCAACTGCTCAAACAAACGGGGAAATTCACCAAATCTAGGTGTATAAAAACAACCCACCCCTGTGGCAATCATCTATGCTGAAACCCTGCATCTCATCCTGGGTGTGTCTGACAAGAATGTGCTACTCGCAGCTCCCATGATTTTGATTAATTAATCATACCCTCTGGTAAACTAGCACAACTATGGAAAATCACAATTTGTTATGGGTAAATCAACTATAAATGGCTATTTTCAATAGCTATGTTAAATTACCAGAGGGTAATGTTCCCACATTTTTTCAAACCCATTTTGGGACCCCATCTCTTGAAGGCAACCGTGGGTGCACCTCCAGCCCCACCGCGCCTCCTCAGAATCGCAGCGGTGTCTTGGAGCCGTGGCAACAGAACTCGCTCCTGCATCTTTCCGACCTGGCGAAGTGGACCATCTATGATACAAGAAATATGTGGCGAATGTTTTTCCAGGAAACATATGGGGTTTGATTTGGTGGGATTTGTGAATTGGATTGATTGTTGCTCAATGTTGCTCAACAATTATATAAAGTGATTTCGTGATAACGGAGCACATATATAACTCATGATCGATGCACAGTCCAGCAGGGACGAGGGCCCCATTAGGCCATGATCCCAACCAATGGGAAACCTTTTCGAATGAAATTTGCGCGTAGTCTGCGTAAGGGCTGAGAAGAATGCTGAAAAAGGGAGCCGACAGTGAGAACTCTCTGTTCAAATCTGTTGCCATTCACCAAAAAGGCAGCACCCGGCCACAAATCCTACATTCACAAGATCGCCCGTGTAAAGTTTATAACCCCATCCACTGGCAGGTCAAGGTGATAATTCATATCCATATATATCCAGCATTAAGACCAACATGTAGCATAATAATAAGCCATCGCCAAACTTAGATAACCTGCAAAACATAATCTTAAAAGGTGCTAAAAACAAAGTGTACTAAACAAAGACGAATTGTTACTAAATCAATTATATCATATTATATCCCGTTTTATTCTCATGAAATGCTTTATACCCCTATGTTTGATGGTTTAACCCATATTGATTCATATAAGTATTTAAAAAAAGTGTTACATCCCCACTATATCCCCAAGATCGTTAATGAATTTAATCCCAGCCATGGTTGCTTGCATGGGTATATAGGTCAAAATTATGTATCCCAATCACAAGATGCTAAATATCTAAATACTAAACATCTAACAAAACCATCCAAAATCTCTGGTCCTGGGGCTTCACCATGGCTTCGCCCCCCAAAATTTTCCAACGGCCCGCCTCCAACTCGCCCCCCCGTGTCACCCGTTGCCTCCACGTCCATCTGCTGCGTCAATGCTTCCAGCTGCGCAGTACCTCGGCAGAGCCGCGCGAGGCGCGCGGCGGCGGCGGCATCACCTGCCGGTGCCCGTTGGTTGCTGGGGGAGACACCAACAATAGTTAAAATGTGGGGGTGGTTCATGTGGTCAAATCTTTGGTGATAAACATGTTCATTTTGATTTTGACTTACTTGATTGATTGACTGGTGTTACTTTTACAAGGTTGTATCTGTTCATGGTCAAAACAATCTTGGATTACTTATTAACATATGGTAAGATACCATGAAATACCGGTCAAATTATTGTATATAATTCTATAGTGTGTAACCGGTGGGCATCCAATTACAATCATCTGACTATCTGGGAGGATCATCCCACATTGATAAAATTTAGGCAGTTTTCCCCGTTTCACCTCCCCTTCACCAATCGATTTCCCGCTGACTTGAAAGCCGAAACCAACATTTCATCCTAAAACATCTTAAAACCATTTAGATCCAATATGTCGAAATCAGCTGAATCAAAATAATTGTGCCGCCGGAAAAAAAGTTCACCTTTGGGACATGCGATGCTTTTCCCATGTTGAAACCATGATTTTGGCCGGTTGGGAACCACCATCCCAAATAACAACTATAAATGATACCAGCCAAATTGAGATAGGTTGGATATACAATTGATCAATGATATATAAATTTCCGCTATACATTGTCAAATCCCTGAATGTGTTGGCGCTTCTAAGCTCAAATGAAACCCGGCCGCAAATGGTTTGTTTGGAAGCAACCGGGAAAAAAAAACAACAGTTAAGGATGTCACCCGCCCTATCATCCCACACGCCACCCTGGTTGGGACTCAATTACACAACCCCTTATCAGACACAACACATGGTTCTATTTCATTTTTGCTTGTCCTATGCGTCGAATCACAAATTTTCCACCCAAACCCACTAGCTCATCATAATCCTCCATATGCTTCTTGATTTACCAAATTTTCCCAAACTGCCATTTTTGGAAACCAATTTCCGAATTTCAATCACCCATTGTCGTCATCCAAAAGTCCAAAAAATGCTGGCCGTGATAAGCGATAGTTTGCCCATAATTGCATGATTGGTATCCATTGAACTTTGCGAAGCCACCGAATAAACTTCATAACCAAAACTAAGGCCATTTCTCAATTTTCACAAAATACTTAATCGTTCAAACTATTAATGCCTGGCAAAAACGCCAAACAAACAATCCTTCCCTATCATTACAACCCCTTAACCATGGTAAGAACTAACCACGAATGATCCCAACGTGGCCTGCTGCATCCATTAGCGCTCGCTTCTGCGTTTCCAACTCCGCCAAGGCTCCACGCGCCACGTGGCGCTCCGCCAAGAGCGCCTGCAGGGCGCCCAGCGCTGCGGCACTGGCCGCCTGTGGGCCGCTGCGTGGGAGGTTGCTGTGGAAGGAGCGGTTTCTTGGAGTGAATGTGCTCAGGTAGGTGGAAATATTTGAATTTGATCAAGATGATTGAAGATTTTTGCAGGAGACAAAATTCATTATACACCTTAGCCGTATTGCACATCTGGAAAAATGTGGAAAATTGATCAACCCGCCAAATAAAGTGCATTGGGATAGTCACGGCCAAGAACGATCGAACTGTGCGGCCTCCCGGCTTTGCAGTTTTAACATATCCGGTAAATATTATATACAATTATAGTATACATACATTTCCTGAAGATGGCACAAATATACTCCCAATCTCAGATTGGAATAAACAGGGTTGAATCTTCTCAAAGCAGGCAGGGGCAAAGAGACGCAAACTGAACCGCCAACCGCGTTGTCCTAATTACAAACTCAGCGGCAACGAATCTGCAACATGTTGTAGCGCCTGGCGCAGCGATCGAAGTGGTGTGCCTGGCAGAAAATACAATGGCAAGTGAACAGGGCTGGAACCCATCTGCCGCGCAGACCATACAATTTGCCTCCGTCTACCTCGCAAAATTGGCCAAATGTAGGTAACAATTGGAAATATTGTAAACATCTTAAGGTTATGAAAAACATGCCAGCAACATGGATTTTGAGGAATGTTAGTTTTTGTTAACCCCATGCCCTCCTCTCATGAAAATTGTAGGATGGTGATGCCACGCCTGAGATCAACTGGAGCTGGGCAAGCAGTTCTAGCAAAGGATCGCCCAGACACTTGCCTGAGAAGCTTGAAGTTGCAAACCCAACGTGATCCTTGAAGTCGGAACAAACAAACATATTTGTCCAGCAATGTATCGAGATTGTTTTAAGTGTTGCAATGTTGATACTAAAATGCATGAGTTTCAAGACGCTGTGGGTATGCCAGCGGCCTATGGATCATTCTTTTCTCGGGATGGTCGCCGAGGGAAGAATATGGAAAACCATGTGGTTCTGGCCAGCAAATGGGAGTCTCCTCTAGCTTCGCCTTCAGCAGAATGTTACAATCTGTTTCTCGGCTTTGGGCAACAACATTAGCATTGTAGTTAAGTAGAATTGATAATATGTGCCCTCAAACGTGGTTCTGTTTTGGGCAACAACAGAGCCTCTTTGGTTTATGGTCGCTATACTTGCAAAAACAAAATCTGTCTGATGGCTCGACTGTTTTCAAAACGGACACCATGACCTTCATGAAGCCTGTGATGTCTTCATCCATAGACAATGTTTTTTTGCATTCAGGATTCTCTCAGCAGACACCAGCATGCCAACAACCACGCTATAGAGCTTGGATATCCGAGTCATCACCTGAGTCATGGCAATCCCTTTTTTTGAATCATCCCGCTGTAGGGAAATAGCCAAGGATAAACCACAACTTGGGGATGGTTTACTGGTGACCAAGCGACTCAGTCCATGGTCCGTCTATGTACCCTGAACGGTCACATCTTGAAATGTTACAGAAACTTGTTTCCAACACCTTCCTGCACCCAGTGATCCATGCGATCCCTATCAGTTTCAACCTGCCAGTTCAAATTTAATGGACCGCCCGGACGTCCATGGCATGTGTTTGGTATATCTTATGGCGCAAATATGCAACACATAAAATCAAAGCAGCATGACAGCGCACAGCCTAGCATCATATAGCCCCTTACTACAAGAACCCGTGCCTGACGAGCCCCCTGTGGCGGCAAGGTCCTTGGTGCAATGCGTATGGACTGAAAAATCAAAACTCCGGCGGCCAGAATTTTTGTTATTGTTTGATCATTATGGGTTCAAGTCATTTCAGGGGCAAAATTTAGTTGACCAAACAGTTGCAGTTTCCAATTCAACTATTTTCGGAGAACACACGAAATGCATGAATTTTAAGATCATAATAAGAAATGTATGTTTGGTGTTTTTGTTGAGCAAAACTTTTTTCGTTTGTATGTGGATTTGGATTGGCATTTATGCTGAAAACAAAACAAACAATATAAACAATAACTATAACAAACACATGCATCCAAAAGTGATATGAATGCTGCCAGCCAAAACGATTGTATAGGCAAACCGAAACACAAGAGTACACGACACCTCGCGAGCCACATGCCATCCTCGCTCACTATAAACTTATCATCTGATGGGTGTTGGGCTGGCCTAAACATGAAATCCTCTATTCTGGAATGATTTTGTCCTGCAACTGATGCTTCACCGATGACACGCCCCAGCCCAACCGTCTCCCTGCACCAAGCTTCTGCAACGTTCCCAGGAGCGGCGACGGTCCTTGCGCTCCAGGTTTCACAGCGCTATCAAGGAGCTTGGCCAAGGCCACTTGCAGGGCCAAAACTGTGGACCTGGGAACCAGGGAACCGTGGGGCGTTGGAGCGCATTATTGACATGATGAATAAATATACTTAAATATACATAATAATACTGTAAATAGGATGTACGCATAGCCCCCTAAAACAATGAAACGTAATTTGCATCTTTTCGGGTTTGCATTGGGTTTCTTATCCCATATCTTCGTGCATGGGTTGAAATTAATCAAAAAAATGGCTATGACCAGTTTACAACATCATATTATGTGCTTTTTTTGTCCGAAAACAGAGGCGCACAGCCCCAAATATGGGTGCGGGTTAGCGCGGGTCAAAAGGGGTACCGCAGTTTTTGGATGATGCCGATGCCGGTGCTGAAAATCGATCAACTGACATATATATATATTATATATATACAGTATATGTTTTTACTTTTTTTTCCTATGCATCCTTGCCTATCCGCTGCGAACCCGATGAATTTGGCAGTTGATTCGCTCGGTGTGTGACGCCGTGCGTTGTTTCTTTTGTGAGGGTAAAGCAAAGTGAAAATCCCGCCCACTATTGCACGAGGACCCGGATGGCTTCATGTGGGCAAAATCACGAAGGCACCGGGGTACCCGCATCACTTTGGGGACACCAAACGCATCACTTCAGGCAACATCCAGAAATCACACACTCCTCACACTTTGGACGGTCACTCTGGGCAACACGGAAAACATCACTTTGAGCAACACGGAAACCATCATTCTTCTTATCTAATTACTTGATTTAGCCATTTAGGGTTTGGTTGGGGGGTGGGGAGGTATCATTTTTTCATTTTCTAATTATTGATGATGATGATGATGATGATGATGATGGGGATGAGGTACCCCGAAGCGATGCATGAGGCGTAGCCCGAAGCGATGCACTCGACGTATCCCGAAGCGAGAGCCTTACCGGGAACCGGCAAGAAGTGGGTTACATTGCGGCATTGCCGGAGAAGTCCAATCTCAGTTTGAAGCAACAAACATGGGTGTATCGGGAAACCAGCGCTGATGGAAATATCATTGGCGCAACTCAAGACTATGTAGCGCAATCAGGTATTAATCAAATCATATATCAAATCGCAAAACATCTTGGGGTGTCTCAATGGCAGATTCTGTGGGATAAATCAACCAGCCGGATGGTTCCTGTGCGGGCTTGAGCATGCAGCAGCAGGATCCACAAAAACTGCTGGACCTGTTCATGGCATACAAAGACACGTAGCAGCAACAGATACGAGGACACCAAGCCCCAAACGCTGCACCACGGAGCAGCTCATCTTCTTTTGGGAAAGGTGGAAACCTGAACAGTTCAGCGTCATGGCTCAAAGTGAAAATCTTTCAAGGGTCAACGGCAATCCCTGGACCATTCTGGACCCCATTAAGGCTCCTTCGTGAAACAGCGAGGCTTGGCAGGCGCCGAGGGACCGGAGGCCGCACACGGCGGCCAAGAGTTTTGGAGTTTGCGCATGTCTCCACGTGGATGCCAGTTCCTTTCATCTCGTCGCTTCCAGATGGCCCAAGTTTGAATCCCACACCCCTGTTTCCAACTCATAGACTCTGAAATCATTGTTTCTTGGGTGAATGTATCCTCTCAACCTCCAAGTCGGCAGGCTCTATAGTTGGATATTAGTTGGATGGTGGGATGGCATGTGGTTTCAGTGCGTCTTAAACTTTCAAGATCTTGCAGGCGTTCCAAGAGAATACACCATCTCCCGCTGCTTTTTGTCGGCACCCGGTGTCCTCCAACCTCTTGGAATTTGTCCCTGAGATGGGGCGCCAAAGAGGTGAGCGTGGGGCTGTGGGAATTTCCAGGCCTCAAAATTGACGAAAATTGGGCTGAATACAAGGATGTACCATGAATACCAGAATATAATCCTTCCAAAGACAAACATGTGGGACCAATTTGATCCAAGTTGTATAAAGTTAATTCTCTGCCCGTTTTTAATCTTTATTTTTTACATCCTTCATTTCTTACAGCATTTTTTGGGTTTTTCTGCACTCAAACCCTCTGCCAAGGCGTATCTTCATGTGGTCTTCAGTCAAACATTCCCGGACGTGTCCACCAGCAGCCCAGCCTGAAAGCAACGCGTCCAACAACTCAGAAGTGACATCTTCCGAAGCATCTTCCATACTTCGGCGGTGGTGGACAGTTCAGATCATTTGGTTGATGTAGTAATTAATCGGCACCGTGCTGTCATATGATGGTGTGCTACTTTTGATGTTTGTTTGTTTTATTTTGCCTGGCGATCAGATTACTTGTTAACTTAATGATCAATTTTGAGAAAAGATGCGCACAGATTCTCTTGGCATAGCCGCCCGTGGGCTCATAGCCTTGAAAAAATGCTACAAGTTTGACTCTCGAGCGGCTCTGTACATTCCGCTCTTGGAAAGTATGGAGCCCAAATTCAACAGTCACCAACGTGCCAGAGTGAATCTAACCTCGGCCTGTATATAAGCATGCCAATGTGTCTGTCCATTCCACTCTTCAATGCAAGTCTCACTTTGTCTTCCAATGTCCTTCCTTCCCCAAACTCACAAAGCACTGCAAAAACCAGTCGGCATACAATGGAATGACAACGAACAACATTTTAGCAAATGAAGTTTGGACGTTGGAAACGTTCTCGGCTGCATGTTCTTTTCAGTCCATGGGTTCGCATCATCCAATCTAGATGTCGCAAATGGCTTTTCTCTCAGGAAGATTTCTGCATGGTGACTGGTTCGTTCAGCACGCGTGTTGCTTCTGTGCCATGGGAAGCAGCAAGCCATCTCTGGCCGTGAGCGCCTTTGCCATGGCGTCTTTGCCGAAAAATATGCAAACAGAGGCAGCTGCAAGAAAGAAACAAACTTGGCGGAGGAGGGAAACCACCATGGAAGCTGGTTTGGAAGCTGGTTTGGTGGAACCAATCACCAACTCCTCCTCCACTGTCCAGGGAAGCTCTCGCTTGATTTCTGCAACGGGTGCAGTTTGAACCACCTTGAGCATATCTTGCTTTGATGCTGACACGCTCTCGTGGCGGTTCTGCATCCATTCATCCGCTGTCATAGGATTGGTCTTCCCAGCAATGTGTGGGAATGGACACTCGCGCGGGTAGGCATGATGCAGCCACTGTGCAAACAAGCGGCCATGCAACGGCACCTTGCCATTGTGCTTCTTCGCAACTTCATGAAGTCTGTCCTTCAACTCTGGAGAAAGGGTGCGAGGAGCCTTCACAGAAGCAGAAGGCAAGTCCGACACAATGGCCAAGAGCCGGTCTGGCTCAACTTGAGGAGCTGCCACTTCACGTTCAAGATGACTCAAAAGCCCCTCACACTCATTGATGCAGCAAACAGAGTAGACACTGCTTGATGCAACACAATTTGAGTGCGAGTTCACATAGTTGGGAATCAGCACAGCAAGGTTGGAAGGGTCAGACTCATCCAAAGCTCCAAGTTCCCTCAAGTAGGCAATGCTCTCTGAGAATTGCCAGTTGCCTTTCAAAGCAGACCCATAGAAGTCTTTCAAGAGCACCCTGCCAGTGCTAGCATGCTCAATGTTGGTCAGGGACCTTTTCAAATCCCTGCACTCAGCATCCTGCCAGCGGCCATACCTTTCACCTATTTCCTCAACCACAGATGTGGCTGCATGGAAACTCAGGTTGCCTGGTGCGAAGTTGGGGTCAGCTGCCTTTGAAGCAAGCAAATTGGAGCGAACCTGCATGGTGAACTTCTGTGTCTCGTACCATCCGGGGTATGCCTCGACGACTGCAGCACGCTCCTCAGCCACAGTCAAAGCAGTCACTTCCTGCTTGCCCACCAAGAAGATAGTCATGTAG